AGTCTGTCGGAGCTGCAGCTTCACACAAGCTTCATACTCCAGTTTTAAATGGTGAAAAAGATTTGTAGTTCGACCTTTTGTCGGGACTTGTTTTCAGCATTGTCTACAGAAAAAAATTTTCTGCTGCTCATCTGACAATTTAATTCCAAACCATCTTCGAAAGAACAGCCATTGTTTTTCTTTTTAGCTAAGCTGTTCTTCATACATCTCTCGTGTTTACTTGCTGTGCTAAACGTCTCCCGCCCACCTCCTGGAGAAGCAGGAAGCTGTGGGAGCGCAGCTGAGAGGCTGTGTGTTTGTATTCAAAGAGGGAGAAGTGGTGTCGCATGGGAGAAAGAGGACAGCAGGCCGATTTTCAAACTGCACTATATATCGTTTATAGTGATATAGTCTCATCTTATATTGCAAAAAAAAAAAGTACCTCGATATTTTAAAATATCGAGATATCGCCCAGCTCTAGCTATTAACATATTATTTTTGTAACTTACTAAATTTCTTTATTTTACCTAATGGATATATTATATAAAATGTTTAATGCAAATGTATAAAGTGTATAATGTATGTATGATGTGTATAATGTATATTTATAAAAGAACTAGCTGTTATGTCAATTGTCAGTCTTCATGACATAAAACCTCAAGATTTTTTTTTCTTGCAGATTAAAACAGCTCATCCAAACCAATTGTTTCATCTTGTATGTCGACTTGCTTTCACAATAAGACACAACTGGTCGCAACTAGTGTAATGAACTTGTTGCAGCAGGTCCTAATGAGTTTCACAAGTCTGTTTACTGGATCTTCATCTCTTGAGCCAGATTTTCTTTTTGATCCTTTTCTTTGTTTTTTTTTTTAACACAATAAATGACACCTGTTCAATGAACATGGTAGAATTGTATTGATTGAGTGTAGATTATAATATTGTCTTTTATTATGCTGTTGCTGAAGAGATGAAGTTATTTGCTTATCAACTCTGAACTATGTCTCTGAAATGAGTTCAGACAAACTTGGATCAGATTGGTCACTCCAAAGTGACATTGACCAGTCTCTTTCCAGTCTACATTTTTAGTATATTCAGTGAATGTATAGTAGGCACCAGGATTTCAACCTATTTTATATAAAGGAGAATCAGTTGCGGAAGTCTTGACGAAAAGATAGAACTGAATGTTTTTTTTTTTAATCTCTTTTGGTAGCAGAATTAAACCATCTATGTAACATTGTATCATGAGATTTCTTACTATTTTAAATATTAAAACAGGTTAACTTTTGTAATTTGTACTCACTGAACATATATCATAACGTTTTGTACGTCTTGAAATATTCTTTAAATCCACTCTCTCATATGGGTCATTTTCATATATTCTTCAGATTGCTTATAGTGAAATTGCAAGCTTTTGTGTCATAAAACCTGGTTTTTGTCATCGCATTTAGTGAAATTGAATATTTTAAGCTAGAAGCAACATCATACTGGCTCTCTAGATTGTCATCCTTTTTTAACATCAAGCATACACCTTTATCTTATCCTGTTTTTCAACTTCTCTTAACCCTCCCCTCCTCTCCTTCTGTTTTTCATCGTGCTGACTTGTTGACTTCTGGCTTCCGTCATCCTCTATGGCCAGGAGGTGTGTATGCTGACATTTGGTGACCTAAGTTCAGCTAGGTTCTTACAGGGAAAAACAAAAGAGAGACAAGTTTCAGCACAATAATTAAACCTCCTGTTACTTCATTATGTCAAAAAAACAACTTTGAACTGTTTTTGTGTGTTGAACCTCTGATGAGAAGGCAACAACTCTCATATAAGTGCAGTAGTAAAAGTAATGAGGCGAAGAAAAGTGACACAGGAAAAGGGTGTCTTCAGTTGTTCATTAAAGGAACGTTGTTGAAAAGAAAGTGGTCAGCTGAAAGGGGCCATGTTTGTTTTCTAAAGAGCATCTGGTCAGGCTTCACCCGAAAGCATTTGTTTTGCATCCTGCAAAAGAGGACTTAAAAGTCAAATGGATGCTTGGCTGATGGAAAACTGCATTTGCATTTCCGGAATCTAAGCCTCTCTTTATCCCTCTTTTCTCTCCTGTTCAATGTCAGAGCCTTTGCGTATCATTGGGGAGAGAAGTGCATGCTGGTAAACCATGAGTGGTGCTGCGTCTCGGTTGGTCAGCAGAGGAGAGGAGGGAGCACGGCTGGGTTGTGGCTCATGGCCCCTGCTGCCTGCCATCTTTCATTGGGGCTCTCAGGTCTTTTATAGTTTGCTCTGCCAGTTACTGCCGCTTCATAAAACCTCAATGGCCAAACACAATGCCAGGCAGGAGAGGGTTCATGGCTAAACTTGAATCACTGCTTCAGTCCAGTCACTTCTGGTAAACCACAAAACCCTAATGAGACAAGTGGCAAATTCCAATTTTCCCTCCTGCTGTCTACCTCTGCCATCTTCCCTTACACTAGCTCCTTTTACATACACCTCAGCATTCTGACTATTGATTGTATTATCTGTTCTAATATGCAGTTAAATTGCATATAAGGAATTTGTTCAGATTTTTAACCTTTGCCACTGCAATGATTGTTTCTCCAAATACTAAATTACTTTAAACATGGGGTTCTCCCTAAACCCAAACATGTCTTCTCTTTACCCACAGCTTTTTATTCTGCAGGGACTCAAGTTTGCTGTAGCTGTGTTGCCAGGCTTTTTGAGGAAAAACAGCAACTATTTTTTTTAACTACAGTGGTCCCTTGTTTGTCATGTGGGTTACGTTCCGGACCCCCCAGCAATAAGTGAAAATCTGCGAAGTAGGAATGTTACATTTATTTTAGTATTTATATATATTTTAAGGTTTTAGAAACCCTTCTCACACACTTTCAAATTCTTAAACCTACTTATTTTAATAGCATACGTATATGTACTGTACAGTACTGCAAAATTTTACTCACCAGCTCTGCAGAAACAGCGGCTCGGTTCTGGTCTGGCAGAACTACCCTGCCGGATCTACCCTGCTGGTTCTGGTCCGGTTCTGGTTGGCCTTCTGCAACCCTTGAGCACCAAAATGTTTTTGGAGTGAGCAGGACCTTCGGATGGCCAGCACGGGACCACACGGTGGTCAAGATGGAGTCCAAATGTGGATGGGGGAAGTCCTGGTGTGCTCTGGGGAAAACACCAGACCTCCAGGCGGTGCCTCCCCGCTCGGAAGGCCTCGTGGGCTGACAGGCGGCCCTCAGATTCACAGCTGATTATGGAGGTCCGGCTCTGGTTTGCTTCCTGGTTGGTTCCATGCGGCTCTCTGCATCCGATGGGCGCCGAATTACTATGGATAAGGACCGAACTTTTTCAGATCGGCTCATAACTTTCCCTCCTTTTCAGCAGAAAACAACGGGTCTTCTAGGTGGGGCACTATTGGCTTCTGGGAAATGTAGTCATTTTGAGTGGCGATACATTATAGGCTTATTGAGAGAAAACTTCAAAAATGGCGGTGCCTGTCCGAAGTATTTTTTTTTTCATAACTTTTTTGCTGTACAGTATCCCGTACTGTCCCAATCATGTGAGTAATATTAAAGTTGACAATCGTGTGTCGTGTACAATTTTTTTCCTTTTTTTTTTTTTTCTCGTGTGCAATCTTACTTGGAAAAAACGCAAAAGATCAAGTCCGCAAAAGTCGAACTGCAAAATAGCGAGGGACTACTGTACTGGAAAACAACAATCCCTATGTTCTTTATAAATAAGAAAGTCTAAAGTTGCTTATAAGCAATATTGTTAACTTTAGTGACAGCCAACTTTAGTGACTGGAAAAGTGTCCTGTTGTTCATCTGTGTGTGTCACAATAGGCTGTGAAAACTCTTTATGTCTCTACAGGTCTGTAATGTCCGTAAAAATCCTAATTTAATTTGATCATTGCTCACCCAAAGTAATTACCTAGTTCTGGGTCAAATGATCTGTAACAACCGCTTACATGACAGCGTTTTATTCCGAGTAATTTTTAAACCCACACATGTTTCCACAGAAATATGGTTGTCACCCTAGGCAAAGTTAGGAATTGTGTGCATTAGCTAAATGTAAACATAATGGTGTGAAATCCTCCAGGAACTAACAGTACAAAAGCATTGGTGATGTTTTCTGTAAGACGAATGGTAACTGATTAAAAGTTAGCTCACTCTGATTGTTCAATACTCAGTTTTACTTCATTACGGAAATGTTAGGATTGTTGTTTTTCATAGAGGAACAAACCTACATTTGATTGTTTCACTTGTTCTTGTGATTTCCCTACAGCAGTAAAGTTTAGTGAATGTAGTACATTCTTAGTTCATGACTCGGATCTTACTAATGTTTTTCTTTACAATTTGTGTTTTTGTTGGATGTAACTGGGACCCTGCGTACATAGTTTCGTTCCACCTCATGTACCACGTGTGGTGTCTATGACAAATACATCTCTGAGTCTCTAAAGCAGTATGATAGGCTCATTTGTAAAGCATAGCAGAGAGGATGAAGAAGCACAATCAAGCTCACAACTGGACTAATATTTGAAACATGCTGTGTGAATAAATCTTGGCCTTACAAAAGACAAAAACTTACTCATATTTTGTTGTACGCAAACTTGATTTCCCCTTCAGTGAAAAATACAGTATTTGTCCATCTATAAAACTTTACTGCATCATCTCTCAACTACCGGTACATTTTTAAAAATTATTGTGACCTGCTTCTGTAATTGTGCCCTGACAACTTATGCAACATTTGCTAACATGATAAACCTGTAACTCTACCCAGGTTGCGTCAGGTCATCTGGACGGATTCTCCTTTGTTGAAACATTTTGTCTTTTTTTTTTGTCTGTTTTTTGAAGTATTTTGGACAAAGAAGACCAACCTTGTTAGATTTATGTACCTGGATTATTGAGCGTGGATGAACCTGTAACATTTTTTTTTTTACTTTGTGCAGATGTCTTTTGTCTGTAAAAGTACATGCTTGATTGTTTTTTTCATTGCATTAACTTTGATCCCTTTTTTTTTTCCTCTCTTTTGACCAGGAACTTGAGAGAGCCGTGTCGGAACAGGACTTTGATTTCCTCGGTGGTCTGGTTGCCTGTTTGTTGCAAGGATGTTACCAACGGTCAGACATCACGTAAGTACTAAGTTTGGTGCATTAAAGATCCTAGAGTATTACCAACATGTCATGTAAAAGCACACACTGGTGTGGCACTAGGCTGCCACTCTTTACGAAGTATAAATGAAAAAATATGAGTCACAGCACTACAGTAAGCAACAACTTCAAGGAAATATTTTTACCTTTGTGTGGAAAATATTTGTTGGTGTTTCTTTAGAGAAGATGAAGGTTCTCCCACTCATGATCAAGTTTGATATTAATGTTTATTATATATATGTACTTAAGTTGGCACACCCTAAAAAGCTTCAAACTCAACATTATAATATTTATTACACTAAATATGTCCAACTGGGTTAAACTTTTACCACCTAAGAAAAAAATGTACCACCTAAAACTGTCATTGGCGATGCGCTCTTAATAATAGGGTTAACAAATAAATCTCAAGTAGTTCACTACTTTTCTTGCTTTAAAAATACATCTCCTTTGTCTTTGAACTGTAAAACTAAAATGTAACAAAAGCCCTATTCGCATGGGATTAGTTTTACCTAGGGACCACGTGTAATAAATAAACTACTTCCCAACGTCTGCTTTTAATGTGGCGCATTCACACGGGATAACTAAACCTGAGATTTAGCTGAAATTTACAGACATCTTCCGGTTATGATGTTAACGCGCTGCATTGTCACGACCGCGCCGGTCCTTAATAATGTGCTTAATGTGTGGGCTGGGTCGGTCTCAGGTTTTGATGTGGTTTTACTAATCAGCACTGACAAAAAAGAATGCACAATATAAAATTGTGTTAATCTACTTGTTGAGGAGGAGGCAGGTCCGACTGGCTGGTTTAAGACGTAAAAAAAAAAAAAGCCACGGTAAGCTCAGATAGACAACCTGTCACCGGCTGTGCGCCTGAACGTCCGCGCGTCTGCTGGCCTGCCAGTTGAAATGAACTTGTGACCTGTCCAGAGTGTCCCCCACCTCTCGCACAGTGATGGCTGGACATGGGCACTAATGACTCCCACTACCCGAAAAGGAAGAAGCAGGTAAATATGATGGATGGATGGGTCAGCTGATCACGCGCGCCTCTCTGCACCTCCTGTCATCTGCGGTGAAGGAAGTAGCAGCATAAAAGCCGAAGCGAGAAAAAATACAACATTAAAAAACAGCCGAAGTGAGCAGCGCATTAATTTAAAATAGCTTGTTCTGTATTTTTCCAAATGATTTTGCTTAAACAAAAACAAAACAAATCCCTCATTACATGTCGGATCCGGCTCATTTCTGTCCAAATCACAGAGATGCGTATTCGCTTTGGATTAGTATTATCACAGGACCTCTGAGTTCAGCAAAATATAGTAGGTAACTTGGGGGTGGGGGGGGGGGGGGGGGGGGTTTACTTTACAAATTACTGACATGGCCAATTTGCACAGGATTAACAACACAATCTCCGTACTTATTACAAATAGCATGTGGTCCCTAGGGAAAACTAATCCTGTGCGAATAGGGCTAAAGACATTCAAAGTATTTTTGTTATTATTTTTTATTAAACATCTGAAGGACCATAGAAAATTGTAATTTAGCCAATTTTTAACTTCTAAAAAGTAAACTTTACATTAATAATTTTTTTTTTTTTTTAAAGCCATAGCTTCCAGGAACCTCCACAGAAGCTCTGAGTCACCGACAGTAAAACAAGAAGTCAGAATTTACTTAGACCATGTTAAGATGGTGTGTTGTGATCATTGTGCTTGCTCTATATGAAAGCAGAGAAACCTTTCTCTCCCACGTTTTCACAGTGAGAGAAAGTGACTTTGTTGTTGAAGCTGGTATTCAAATCCACAGATGTATTTATTTGCAGCTGGGGATTCCCTGTCTACACTGTCATCAATCATTAGAAGATATCATGGTGCTACAGTGAAGTGATAAGCGCAGAGGCTGGAGCGATCCAGTTTTTCCACCCAGGCGGCCAGTTACAGGAAGACAGCCTGCTTTATTGGACTGGACAGGCGCTGGCATCCCGGGGGCTGGCTGTTCAGCGCTGGCCTTTCACAAAGCTGGCCTTTTCATCTGCACGCGTTAAACGCTCTGCCGGAGCAGTGAGAAAGGTGGGAGGGAGGATGTCTGAGAAACCTAGGATACAGAAAGGAGGAGAGAGATGGGGCGGTGAGAAAGGGGGAGCCTGCAGCTGTGTGAAAAGTGCACACTGCTCTTTCAAGATAAGCCATATTGTAATGTCCCTTTTTCTGCGTACTGTTGCAGAAATGCTCAGATAAACTCCTGCCCTGAGCCCCTGGGCAGGGGCTTATCTGACTAAGTACTGAAAAGTAAAGATGAATCTTTTTATTCCTGAGCCCATTTGGAACCGAGATGCATACTTTGCTACAACTGATACTTAGTGCCGTTTTACTTCAGCCTCATATCCTTTCTGAAAAATAACTGCGTTTGAACCTTTTTCTAACATGCAGGAGTACTTGAAGGAGCTTCAGTAGCTCCATGATCTCTGGGTCTTGTAATCCTGCAGTTGAAGCTTCACTGTGGTGCAGTTTGTCCTCAGAGACAGTTTATTGTCACTGTGACATGTCATGGCAGCTGTTTTACAATCACCTGTTAGCTGTTAAACACAGACTTTGGAGAATCAAACAAATATATTTGTTTTATTTATATAATTATATTTAAATAAATTATCGAGTGTGGTGGCGCAGAGGTTAGAGAAGGTGGGCCTGTGACCAGAAGGTTGCCAGTTTGACTACCTGGACCGACAACATCAAAATATGGGTGGAAAAGGTGAAACACCCACACCTACCTCCACCCTCATTTGCCTCACTCTAGACCCTTGAGCAAGGCCCTTAACCCCCACCATCTGCTTTCCTTGGCACCATCCGGCATAAACACAACTGCCAAGTCTTCATGCGAGTTAGTTCACTGTGGTGACCCCTGAGGAAGGGAGCAGCTGAAAAAAATAAATAAAATCAGTATCAGCAGCCTGTGGCAAGGTCACGGTTTTGTTGTTGTCATTTGCACCACATGGTACATGTGGTGGAACAACATTGTGTACACAGGGTCCCAGTTACATCCAACAAAAATATAAATTGTAAAGAAAAACAGTTATAAGATCTAAGATTTGAACTAAGAAATATGCTGAACACTAAGCACTAAAAGTACAAAAACAATACACCGAACAACAACAGCACGAACACGAGTCTGTGTGAGCAGATGAGTATGAATGAACACAGCAGCGTGAAATAAATCAGCAGCATGAGATCAGCAGCACATATCAACAATCAAGTGGCATTACAGTGATTTTTTTCACATTTATAATCCTGATTAGGGATTCATGAGTCTTAACAGCTTCAGGGTAGAAGCTGTTCCTCAGTCTAGTGGTCTAGCAGCTTCCTCTTGAGTCCTGCGACAGTTTTGTTGCTGGTTTTTGTTTGTTTGTTTGTTTATGCTTTATGACACACCCAAAGATAAAGAGAGATTTTTCCTTGCTCGTTAGGACGACAAGGACATGTAAGACGTTGACCACGTTTGTTCCTGGTATGATAAATTTGGTTGTAACTTTTATTTTCTGCCCAGACCTTGCAGCTCAGATCTTGCTGATTTCCTGTCAAAATGTTTAAGTATGTCCTTGTTTGAAAACCAAAGTAAATAAAGATTTTTTTGTTTTCTTTTGGACACAAACTGACTTTTACAGTAGTGTGGAGACTGGACATTCTGCCCAGTCTGCCCCTCCTCGATAACAAACAAACAAACAAAAAAACCATGAAAGTCACATGTGCAAATATATCACCAATAGTTAGTTGGGCTGACTATGGCCGATGGAAAACAATTTAGTTTAACACCCAACTCTATCATCCAAATCTAAAAAAAGTTAAGTCTGGTCCTCTGGACATTCAAAAGAACAAAACAAAAAAACAGACAAAAAAAAATTAAGACTTCTTCAGTCTATCATGCAAAGTTCAAATATCACAGGGACGTAGGGGTGCGACTAAGTGGAAGGGTGGTTGCTGTTTTTGTTTTCACATCTTTAGCAACTGCAGTGAACTGGTCATGTGCAGATGCAGCCATAAATTTATTAATTTACTACATGCCCTGACATTCATGGGAAGACAGCCAGTGCCACTGGTGGGGTTGGAGCGCTCCCCTTGAATAATGATAGCTAACGCTGACTTAAAAATCATAATAATCTAAAACATTTTTGAAAACCTGTGCTGAATAAGTCTGAGCTGTGCACCAGAAGACATGATTGTTCTGTAGATATGTTGAAACAAACCTGACATAAACGGACATTTACAGCGATACACTTAAATTGTTTTAGCCCTCAGACATTTAGCAGTTACCTGGATGACATCATCAGCTACCGGTGGGAACTTGAAGAAGGGAAGCCAAACCCGCTTCACGAGGGCCCGTTTGAGAACCTCCCACCTCGCACTCAAGTGGAAATACTGCATCGACTCTGTGACTACCGCCTAGATGCTGCTGATGTCTTTGACCTGCTAAAGGTATAGCTCAAGAAATAATCTTTTGTCCTACAGGTTTTTTTGGGGGGGATTTAAATTTCTATTTTTTTTCTTGATTTTTGAAGTTTTTTTTAAATTATTTTTTATTACTTGCAATCAGTTGTGTTTCAAAGTTTTTGTCAACGTCAGCAAAGTTACATCAGTTAGTGTTGCAAATGGTCCTCCTTTGACAAATTCAGTTTTTACAGATTGCAGATTTGCAGACACCCAAAATAGGTGGTCATTTTGTCAAGCATTACAACAAATTATTTTTTTTATAACTTGGGGAACGTTACTGGATTATCTTATAAAGTTTCCTTTAAAGTCATACCTGCAAACTTGTCGCTTGAGGCGTGGTAGATGGCATAAGAAAAAGCCCCCCTAAATTCACTGTTGGTGGTTATTAAAATGTCACCTGTTCATTGGGTAAAATTAATATTCTTATTTTAAACATACATTTCAGTGTCTCCATTGTGTAGCACAATGGCAAATTGTATTACAAATAAAACTAAATAAAAAATTACCAATAAAAGTAGAGTGCACCACTAAAGTCATTGTTTGTGCTAAATTGTGTCACATTAATGTCATTATCTTAGCCATAGGAGTGGGTTTAAAACAGGATGATGCCTATATGGACTAGTTGAATGAGGTTTCTCTAAAATATTCTGATGCACGCTCAATAATTTCAACAATTTAAAAAAAAATTATTATTATTTTTTAATCCATCCAGAGGACCTGATTTAATTTAGTTAGATGTCTCAAAAATAGTTGTTTTATCAAGTGTTTAGGTAAACGTAGATGTCTTTTCCCCTAATGTTTTTTCTTGTAGTGTACTAAAGTGCTTAATTTGTTAAAAATCACAAAATCTTCTGGGGGGTGGTGGTGCAGGCGCTAGGTTTGTCACCTTTTTCATCCCTTCTGCGTTTGCAGGTACTGGCATGTAAACTGTAGTTCAGAATCAAAAGCAAATGTTCAAGAAAGGTCTGAATGAGTTCAGCTAAGATACAGTTTATAATTGTTGCAAAGGTAGTATTTTTAGTTCTAGTTTTTTGTTGGTGTTTTATTTTTCCTAATTTAAGTTTTTCTTTATTTATTTAAGCAACATCCCAGTTTTAGGTCATAAACGCTCTCTGTAAGCGAGAGGTAAAATGTTTCATATCTGTGTATGACTCACAACTTTGTAGGCTCCAAGGACTGAATGGCATAATCCACTAAATGCTTATGACGTAAAACACAATTTGAGAAAGATCATGTCTCCACCCTCGCCTCCCACAGGGCCTGGATGCAGACAGCCTGAGGGTGGAACCTCTGGGGCAAGATGGAAATGGAGCCCTCTACTGGTACTTTTATGGCACTCGTATGTATAAAGAAGAGCCACTTCAGAGAAAGGAGGTTCAGTTCAGGTGAAAATCAGCATCTGTGTATTTTTGTTCAATAAGTGAATACTGTCATGGGCCATGTTTTCTGTGGTTTAGTGGATGTGCAAACTGCGTAACTGGTAAAAGCTTAGTGTTTATATTCAGCTTTGTTAATGAGTCAGTTTCTCATTACTTGTGGAATGGCTGATTTAAATGTTTTTATATGCTTTGTGTGCTTTCAAACAGTGAAGCAATTGATCTGTCGCTGCCAGAGAGGAAGAAGAGGGGAAGGCCACCAAAAAAGAGAAAGTTTGAAGACCATTATCTAAGGTTGGGGGAAAAACAATTAATTGGGGTAATGTGGAGAATTAGTGGCACGTGGAACAATTCATATGATACACACACAGATGTACTAATGATAATTAATGAACATCACAGCAGCTAAATAGATATTTTCCACCTGGTCTTTATATACTTATATTATTTGTATTAAAACAAAAGGCTTTATTGTCCTAGCAAATGATACGAAGTGAGATTTAAGAGTTTGAGTACCGGTAATTAGTAAAATGTTTAAAGCTTTGTCTTTAATAATATGCTGCTTTAAATGTTTGTTAAAGTTCCAACTACTTTCAAAATTTACTCTGCAAGTTTATTTATAATGTAATGCACAATTGCTCTTTTACTAGAACTCTAAATGCGTAGGATTTTTTTATATACTTTGCATTCATACATCTTTGTGATTCATGTTTTTCTTAGTGATGGGGAAGGTGAAGTGGCTGAAGTAAACTCAGAAAATGGACTTGATGACTATTCTCCAGTCATGGGTAAAATAATCTCATGCATACAAGTACACAGGTCTCTCTTGCACATGAGTCCTTGAAGCTCAATGAGACTAACCTGTTTAAATAAAGGTTGAATGAAGTGACATTTTTAGAGTTGACAATACTGAACGTTCTTGGTGTCCTTTTTTTGCACCAACTCAATAGTTTTTCTTCCCCCCACCCGTCAGAATCAATAAACTGTTTCTCCTCTTTGCTTCTGCCAGGCCGAAAGCGAGGCGCCTGGTCCCTTGTGTGTGACACAAAAGAACAGTGGACGGGACTGGCAGAGAGCATCAAGGACAAAACGTCTCCACAGGATCGCCACCTCTATCGCGTCATCAGCCAAAATTTTCTGCCTGAGATCAGCAACATGATTGAGTACAAGGTCAGACACTAAAAACCTCACAGTCGTCAAGTCTTTTTCTGCGCATAAAATCAGGATTTGTTTAGGTCTAAATCATATAACGTCATAACACACAGACTTGCATCTATATTTTTTGTGTGACAGTTTTTGTTCTCACAGAATTAGGCTCATTGTTACAGTAATTATTTTTTGGTTGTGCGCAAATGCAGAAAACCAACTTGTAAACTGCAAAACGTAAACCTGATTTTACTCTTCTATATTTACTGACGGACTTAAAAAAAAAATTTGGTCAAATTTGTATTTTCCAGAAAATGGCCAATCTTGCAAGGGGACATCTCTTAATATTAAAAAATAATAATTTAATCCTAATTTGATTTAGATGTAAAACATTAAACTTCCCAGTCCTTTTTGCTGCTTGTTATGGCTTTAAAAATGGTAACGTGAAGTAAAACTGGTCTCTGCTTGTCCCTAATTTTGTGCTGCACCTCTGTCATGAAGTTCGCAGCATTTACTGTCCAAATTGGTCCAGATGACACGATTTAACCTTTTTGTTGTTATCTACCTGAATGATTGAGCTTACAACCCTTTTTTTTTTTTCTCACAGCATTTAGTCTCTTCAGATTTGAGTCTCCATATGTTCTGTATGGCTGGACAGACAGAGAGCTTTCGAGTTACATCTCAGAACTTGGTGTGTCCGTCCTCAGGGGGAGATTATTCTTGGACTTGTTTCGCTGTTCAAGCATGTCAAAGTCAACTCCTCTTTTTTTCTTGCTAAACAAAAATAAACCTGAATGCTGGAAAGTTGGCAGGTACCTGAAGTATCTGTACCAAAATCCTCTTGCAATGCAGAATGTAATGCTTTTACTAAAAGACACACTTGCCATTGAAGTCAATTGAGTTCAGAACATGGACTTTACAAAAAAAAGGTGATTGTATGTCAGTGTGAGAAGTTTTATTTAAAAAAAATTTAAAATAAGGTTTGCATAGCTTATAATTTACTTTTATGTTTGATCATTAGGTACAAAGAAAATTATTTAAAAAACTTTAACAAGTTCTCCTATTTTCCTAAATGGAGTAACTGTAAATTAAATTAACTTATCTATTTTTGCCACAAAAATGGAAGTTAGAGTTTTAGCCATACAAAAATAAAAAGAGAAAACTTTTTTTTAAATCCTATTTATTTCGATCATTGATTGCCACCGTTGCTCAGAGCTATTCCTTGTTGTAATCTACCTGTTTGTGCAAAGATCGGTGGGCGCTGCCTATTATTGTGATGTATAACCAGCATTGACTGTTGCTATAGAAACCCTGTGAGCCTTTCTCCATCATCAGCAGCAGTAAAGTAAAGAACGCTGCTGGCAGTCTGATGTCAGCAGAGAGGTCACGCACTAATTGCAAATGGTCAGTAGGTGAATGGGTCCGCAGTCAATTCTCCACTACTATAAGGCGTTCAAAATATTTCCGTTCGCTTTTCCCCTAGTATATAACATTAGCAGTGGGGATTCTTGTTCGTTTATGTATAAAATTTTAATTAAATGTCCAATTTTTACTTAATCCACAAATCAAAATGGTTTATATGTCAAGCAAATTCAGTTTCTCCTTTTCTTTCATAAATAACGTGTAGATATTTTACTTACACGTGTCTTTAGGTTGGTCTATTTTTGCACGTGTGCCAAATGTAGTTTCCCATAAACATTTCTTTGAATGACTGTGATTGTTGTCAGCAGCTATTTAATGAAGCACTGACAGCCAGCAAGAGCTCACCTTGAGGCAGGACGGGGCCTCTTGAGTGACAGCTCTGCTGTGCTGCAGGATTCCGTCAACCTCTTTGTGGTGACACCAGAGGCGCTCTGTCTAATGTTGTGTGTGTGTGTGTGTGGGGGGGGGGGGGGGTATGGTGGGTAGAGCTGTGTAGCCTGAGGAAACATCAGTGTTTCCAAGTAAACAAGAGGCAGAGATGGAATGGGTCAATGAGTTGTGGTGGACATGATGCTGTACAGCAGATCAGGAACATCTGGATGGCCTTTTTAACTTATGACTTTTTTTCTTTCTTTGCCTTTTCATCCCTCACCCACATCTTCCTTCCTCCTTTTCCTCCTCACCTTTGCACATGCACACTTTAATTTGACATGTACATTTGTGGGGCTCCTAGTTGTTGAATAGATCCCAGAACTACTGAGTGTTATAATGTTTTAATTTCTACATGCAACGCAAAAAGTTATTCGTAATGATCCTTTTTAAAGTTAAATATATTCCTGTTATGAGTCATTTGTTTTCTGTTTATAGCATTTAATAGGTTATTTTTATTTGAAACGGTGGAGCCCAGGTAACAAAAAAATAAAAAAATTTCTAGTGATTCATCTTTGGTAGAAGAAATGTTTTCAAACAGCCTGACTTGTTACAACTTTATTCTTAAGTGCAATTATTGGTCACTCTCCACCTGGTTCCCATGTCCTGTACACTACCTTGAACTTATCTAAATGTATTATAATGTATTTCATAAAAATCTGGGGAGGCATATTAGGTGTTATTTTAATTTGTGTATTATCTTGACTGAGCGTGAAGAGAGGTGAGAGACTGACTTGAGGGAGTGGAGAGTAAAAAAATGTTTTAATTCTTCTTAATATCTGAGGGTCTGTGAGTGTTTCGGTTTTGTTGTGGTGGTATACTTGTGTTGATTTCTCAAATAAAAATGTGTTGATTATGTAAAACAGATCCTGAAATAATTTTCCCCCAAAATTTGAAAAGGCTTGACAATGAAAGAAATATAATTAATATCTGTCATTAATGCCAGATTGATGCTGTTTACATCTTTGGCTGCTAACAATTCAGCAAACTCTCCTCAAACTACACACAAAAGTGCAATAAAATAATGATGAAAGCAACTAATTCCCTCATTGACTGTGAAACAGGTGTCACCTTCCTGTGTTTAGATTGTTGTTCAACAATGTACTGTCAAAACTACCTCAATCTTAAAATAGTCTACATCCGAGGCAACAAGTATTCAGGAACAACAAAGTCCATGCTCAACAATCCAGGTATACAGTCAGGAAGTTCTCACCTGGCACCAAGAGTGCTGGGCCCTGATGACAAAAACACATGATGAAAATAAACTGACCAGTTGATCAGTGTTCTCAGCTGTGGTCGTATCATCTCCCAGTGAAATGCTTGGTATCCCAGCAGTGATGGAGCACTGTAATGAGTTAAAATAAACAAAATATTCATTTGTAGTGATTTTATATTGTTGAGTAAGACACATGGCCATAAGCAGAGCACACCCAAGTTTGTCCCCTTTACAACAAGAGCAAAATAGGCCAAGTATAGTTTTATAAAAGAAAACTAAAATGGAGTAATGCAAAGTGTTAAAGAAGTAGCACAACTCTTCATCTCTGTTTTGTTTTTGTTTGTTTGTTTCAGGAGAAGGAGCAGAAACAGAAGCTCCTGGATCCAGATCCAGTTCACACAGCCCAGTGGTTCTCTGAACATCCCATTAAACAAGAGAACGAGGTGGGTTTTATAGCTGTTCGTGGTTCAAGTTTAATCACCCAATTTCTGACTGGATGTTTTATTTGGATCAGATATACTTAGCACTGAATGATTTCACAACATCTGATCATAAATTAAAACTGTATGCATGCTAGTTTTTGTTAATAAAAGTGCAGGTAAAGCTGAAAAACTTGTTTGCATGCAGGATACTCTGAAGACCAGATCAGAGGAGGAGAGGAAGAAAGATGAAGAGCTGGACAGACAGGTTTTACTGGCCGAGCAGCGACGAGAAGAGGAAAGGCTTGTGCAGGAAGAACGACAGAGGGAGAAACTAGAGAAGATCAAAGCTGTGGAGGGTAAAGTGGATAAATAAATTAACAGAACGCAAATTGAGATCACTGAAGCTTGGTTGTAAAAAAATACACATTTTACTCTTATCCCAAATTTCACTGGGCAGCTGGCTCTGTGGGGAAAAAAAATAGAGAATAAAGATTAAGTATTGTGTTGAGTATCAAATATCCACAAAAAAAACAGTACTTTTCACTATCACCTAACCAGTGTCAGAAACTGATGTAAAGTTTTATTATAAGGAATTTGGATTGTGAAGGGCACCTTACATGCAGTCTTACACATCTCCAGGGCTGGGATTTGGTCCTTGGTAACAAAAAAGTCTCTTGTTGCACTTCAGGCCTATAATTAATGTGTAGTACACATTATGTGAGAGCAGAAATGGTGGATGCCTTTTCTTCCTCTGATGTCATCTATCATGGGGTTAATGAACTGCTGATGGTGCTTGATTTGAGGAGCCTCATTATTGTTATTACAGATTACCAGCGGGATTCGGTCTATACTCTCTGTAGGATGGATATGTACAATCATCCCTCAAATGTCTTTAATCCACCCAGCAGGGGGCTTTTCAAGCCTTTCTGCTTTTTTATGTTGAAAGCTAAAGCAGTGATACATATTGCACACATGCTGTTCTGTGGGTTTGATCAACTGGACCTACAAAAAGATGACTGAAAAATCATTCTTTATTACTTCATTGAACTCCTGCTGTCTGATATCCACGGCTTGGTTTTCATTTACGATGCTGGCAAACTTAATGAGAAGCGAAGTACTCTCACCATCACTGGTTGAAATGTAAATACAGGAGTCTCGTTTATTACAGGGGTTCGGTTCTGAACCCGCCCGCAGTAAGAGAAATTCTGCGAAGCAGCGACGTTCTATTTATTTTAATATTTATATATATTTTAAGGCTTTAGAAATCCTTCCCACACTCTTGCAATACTCTAAACTCTTAAACCTACGTCATTTTAACAACATACGTACAGTACTGTACTCAGGCTCTGAATAACAGGAGCGTCTCTCGTTCCGGTCCGACACTGTTCTGGTCCGACTCGGTTCGTTTCTGCTGATGTAACCTGCAGCAACAAAGCCCACAATCAATGTTCTAAACTCTTAAACCTACTAATTTTAACAACATACTTATATGTAGCTACTAAATTTTACTTGCCAGTACTAGCTCTGCAGAACATCAACCTGAGCTAGTAAGTAAAATCTCTTGGTTCTGGTTCGACCCAGTTCCTTTATGCAGACGTAACCTACAGCAACAAGCCCATAATCAATGCTGTCAACTCTTAAACCTACTACGGAAATTTTAACAACGTGCTTATATGTAGCTACCCAATTTTACTTACTTGTTCTCGGGTTCACTGCAGAGTCTGGAGGTCTGGTTCTGGTCCAGTACATTGCAGCTCTTGAGCGCCGAAGCATATTTTGGGTCAGACCTTCCGTTGGCTGGCATGCAACCATAGGTGGTCGATTTGTGTCCAAGTCTGGAAGAAAAAAGTCCCGATGGGCTACGGAAACAGTGCGTCCGCGCTTATAAGTCCTCGTGGGCCAGGTACCAGCTCTCAAGATTCACCAATTGGTCTGGAGGTCTGGTTCTGCTCTAGTTCTGGTCCAGTTCAGTGGGTCCAGTGCGGCTTCTCTGCATCCGCTGGGCGCCGATCAGATCAAAACTTTATCACTGTTTTTTTGTTGTTGTTGTTTTTTCAACAAAAGGAAAGGCAAAAGGCTTCTGGGTGGGTCCCTGTTGCCTTCTGGGAAATGTGGTCGTTATGAGCGGGAATAGACTGGAAGCTTACTGAGGAAAAAACTACAAAATTGCAGCGCCTGTCCCAAGTATTTTACTTTTTCGTTAACTTTTTACTTTACAGTACGGTATCCAGTACTGTCCCAATCACGTGAGTAATATTAACGTTGACAATCATGTGTCTTGTACAAATAATTTTGTGTGTACAATATTATGGACTGTACGTTCACAAACCGCGATAGAGCGAGTCCACAGAAGTCAAACCTCAGAGTAGCGAGGGACTACTGTATTTTGCTAGTAAACTAACTGAACTAAGACATGACAACAGAAATAACAATTATACGTTTTATCCAATTACTTTAACAACCTATTCAGATATTGCAACAATTATTGCAAAAATGGTATTTGCAATCCATCCATGCCCACTTAATTTTAAAAATTAATTAAAACAATTATTATTATCTCAAGACACTGCTTGTTTTTTCTGGACTCATATTTTGTCACAATCTCAACACTGGGAACTCCATTGGGTTTAAACTTTCAGCTTTAGGGTTTAATAAAAAAAAAAATCAAAACAATGTTCACCTTTATATATTTTAATTTAATTTAATCATTTGGGGATCTAACTGCTTGTTTTAATTTGTTTTTCTCAGAGAGAGCAAAAAGGCGTAAGATGCGAGAGGAAAAGGCTTGGTTGCTGTCTCAAGGAAAAGACCTACCACCTGAGCTCCTAAATCTGGAGCCATCATCCCCTGTCCGCAGAACACGCAAGAATAAAGAATTGTAAGAGCCTTTTCATCCTTGATGTCAGATTTGCTTGATACTGGATCCAGTTAATGTTGTCTATTTATATCTTACATTGGACTTTTCAGCTATGATATTGATGATGACTATACAGCTCTATATAAAGGTATGCATACAGAGTGATTACGAAATCATTCAGATGCACTGGATTTTACTTCTGTTCTGTTACCTGATTGGATTCAACTTGTGTTCTTTAGTGCTTGAAGCCCTGAAAGCCCATAAAGATGCTTGGCCTTTCTTGGAGCCTGTAGATGACTCTTATGCTCCAAATTACCATGAGATCATCCAGGTATATTGTTTTTCACTGATTGAAATGCATCTTCAAATGCTGAGGGTTTCCATGCTCACTACTGTGTTCTGTTACAAATATTTTACCACTACAGACATTTTCTAACCTTACTGTTCTGTTTTTTCAACCTGTCAGGCTCCCATGGACCTGTCCACCATTGAAAAGAAGCTTAATGATGGGGAGTATGTTGCTAAGGAGGAGTTTGTTGCTGATGTGAAGCTCATGTTTGAAAACTGCGTTGAGTACAACGGAGAAGATAGTGGTAAATAAGCGATTACCAAAAAACGCATTTATTATTTACATCTTAGCAAAAGCTAATCCTCATCAAATATGTGTATATTTTAAAAATTAAGCCCAAAAATTATTTAAAGAGAGCTGCATGGGATATGGACTGTCAGACAGCACAAAAAGCGGGGGATGGACTTGGTTGTGTCTTGGGGCTGGGGCCAGGGCAGGTTGACAGTGATTAATGGGGAGTGATTGAGTTGTGCTCCAGTGCTCAGGGGGACTCGGGCCCTGCAGTGCCAGAAAAACATTCCAGCTACTAAAGCCCCCTGTCTAGAGCCATCCATCCAAATGAATACTCTTCCCCCATGAGATGGGGGGAGGAGACTTATGAGGATGCCTGAGGTGGAGGAGGAGAAGCTAAAGGTTGGAGAAACAGGGGTCAGCTTGCGCCCTCTGACCTGGTCACTCAGCTAGGACTAGGCTAAGAACAGTGGAGCAGTTTTGTGCTTTGAAGTGTTTGAAGGCTTATAATGTACAAAAAAATGTGAGAGAACTATTGACACATTTGATCAAATACACACAGCTGATGTGTACACCTTTGTCTGCAGAATACACTACTATGGCAGAGTCTCTGGAACGGTGTTTTAACCGAGCCTTGTTGAAACACTTCCCATCAGAGGATGGCGACACAGACGAAGAGTTCCACGTCAGTCGAGAAGACAAGGAACGCAAAGACAAAAAACGTAATCGTAGCAATAAACATTTGGGACCTGAAAGTTTGATTAGGGCTACAGAGCAAGTTCAGCGTAAGCGAAACTCTCAGGGGGGCAAAGGCAGCTCACACTCTGAGGAAGAGGACATCAAGCTGACACGAGTGCCCTTTCCTCCTCCTCACTGGAATAATCATCCTCACAGTCTTCCTCCAAGTCAGCGACACCCCCATGAAGTGGGCTTCAGGGGCTTGTACCATCCAGGGCAACAGGTATCTACAGGATAACTACTTATTTTTAGAATTTGAGTTTTTAAAATGTTTTTTTAATTTTAAATTTGTCACCAATTCATTATGTCATCAGCTTTTTAAATAACTTTCTATTTAAGAAAAAAAAAATTATAATAATCTCTGTTATTTTTTCAGCTTCACCCTCCTACTGGTCCTCGTGGTCCTCAGCTGTTTGGCCAAAGAATGGCAATGGATCCTCGCTTTGCTTACCCAGTGCACATTCCAAGGCATGGTGACCCCAGCTTCAGCCGCTTGTCTCACAGCTTTAATGTGCAGGTATTCAAAACCAAACCTCTGTGCATTTAAAATGTTTAAATTACTATAAAATAAATATAAATAAATAATATTTAATTGTATATTTTAACTTCAACTGAAAAATATATAGTTCGTAATTAATCAGTCTTCATAAATATTATATTTATGTACAAATATACTGATCACTCTAAACCTCTTACTTTATTCAGCATCACATGAGTGATGGACATCACATGGGCTCCAGGTATCCAGTGGGACCAGATCCTAATGAGCAGCCCCGACAACAGCACCCTTACATGGGTCCTACTCATGGTCCATCCTTGGGTCCACGCCCCATTGCCCTTCAGCCTGGACCTCCTCCTGAAGCCAGCATGTATCCATCCCACCACCGTACAGAGGGCCACACCATGCATCCCATGGCCAACAGATTTTCAGGAACAGAAGGACCAAGTCAGCGCAACTACCCAGGCTTGAGACCTTCTGGTATTGATGTATCAAACATGTGGGCTGGTATGAATCATCATGACCAGGAGAGACTAAATGGAATGCGCATGCAGGATCCCAGCATTGTGAACCAACGCAACTTCAATTATGGTGGAATCCCCCCTCCAGTGGGGCATAAACCATGGCCAGAAGCAGCTGGATACCCCCAACATCCTTCTAATGCTCAGTATCAAATGTCTGCTGCGGCCAGCTCTCTGGGACCCTTGTCTTCACGAGCTCCCGTCCCACAGCCAGACTCCTCCGGCAGGACACACTTGTCTTCCATGCTAGAAAGCCCAGAGATGTTGGCGCTGCAGCAACTGTCAGCCTCTTCTGGACCCCCTGCCGGTTCCTCTCGACAACACATAGGCAACTTTGAGCAGCCAAGGCCCCCGTCAGGATTTGGCAGCATCCCAGCTCACCCCTCCAAACAGCCTCCCCCTACCCTTGAGGTTCAGCTGCTGCATCAAACTAGAGACAAAGGGCTAGACAACCAGCCTTCTCAACAGACAGACTTGGACCCCAAAGGTAGATTTGACCTTCTCTTTTGCCATTTAGCAAATATCCTGCATGATAAAGCTCAAACAAAAGCCACATTTTTTTCTTCACAAATATTATTTTTAATGTATAATATATGTAAAGTATTGTGTATGGTAATCGGCACAACACTTTTCCCCTTTTCTCTGACAAGTGCTTTTGACGATTTAATTTGATTATCTCTCGCAGATGGTAGCAAATTGAATATTCATTAGTACTGTTAAATTTCCTGCTTTTTTTCTTTTCAAAGAAATAGCTTTGGTTGTGTTGTAGTAGAGTTGTGTGAAGTTGTCAGCAGCCAGTAACATACGGGGCGGCTGTGGCTGAGTGGTTAGAGCAGTCGTCCTCCAATGCGAGAGTTGGGGGTTCGAATCCACCAGCAGTGACATGCTGAAGTGTCCCTGGGCAAGACACTGAACCCCTCATAGCCTCTGATGTGTGTCCCATCAGTGAATGAATGTGATCTAAAGCTCATTAGTCTCTTTAGAATGATTTGTTCAATTAGCTTTGTAGAGATCTAGTAGAGTGCTGTATGAATGGGTAAATGAGGCACAGATTGTAGTGTAAAGCGCTTGAAGTAAGATAGAAAGGCGCTATAGAAGTACAGTCCATTTACCATTTACCTGCATTAGAAAGATGGTCAGGTGATCTCAGAAGAAACCAGCTAATGATTTTTCAGACCAAGGCTATTCCAGTGTATTTTAGCCTTTCAAAAAAATTCTGACCTCAAGAACTTTATATCAGTCAAAGGAACACAATTTAATATTTTTTACATTGAATCTGACTGTTGTTTATGTAAACATCTTTGATCATTTACAGTAAAAACTGGCTGTGAGAACATGTTCAAAGCATTTTGCAACATGTCCGGTGTAAAACGGATGTTGTGAAGCTATGAACAATAAATGGCAAATAAATTGGCAGGACATCTATAAAATCTTTGACATTTGATTGGTTATAGATGACTGAATCATTCACCGGACTAGGTCCCAGTCTGACTAGCTGTTATATTTATTCACAAATGTTTTCTTTCTGATTTTTCAAATTGGAATTATTCAGAGTACAGGTCATTGACAAGACTGCTGGTAAAAACTCCACAGATATTCCATTAAAAAAATACAAGTTAGCTCTTTAAAGGTGCACCATCAGAAATGTAATCATGTCTGTACATTATTTTGTCACAGCTTGGTGCTTGAATTGTAGTGTTTTATTATTATATATTTATTAGCATTTGTTAATGCAAACATTTTATTTTTCTGTTAACAGCTGCATCGGAGAACAAAATGGCTGCAAACATTTCTGTTAAAGCTTCCTTGCACAAAAACATTCATTCAATCAATCAAGAACCCCCTGTTATCAGTAGCCCCACAGGACATTATAGTACACCAGCAGAGAGAATGCAGATCCCCTCTGCTCTTAACTTAATCAGATCAAAGGAGAAGGTTTCTGAACAAGAGCTCACACTGAATTCTTTAGAGAGCCATGAGCAGGAGGTGGTTGGGCAGGGACAGTCTGTCCGCAACCGTTCCACTCATATCAACATGTTTCCATCCCATATCAGTGCCAGTACCACCAGCTCTACTGAGATCATTCCACACGAGCACCATGTGCAAGCACAATGCAGTCCACAGCACAATGCTCAGAGCCCTTCACGTCTGCCTCCAAACCTACCCCCGCTGCATGTTTCTGAATCCTCTCATCACACACCAGAGAACCAGTGTGAAGCACATCAGCAAAGTGAAACCCAGCAGAACACCCAAAATCAACAACAATCTAAAGTAAGACAGATTACATCATCTCAAAGCCACCCTGAGAGCTCTCCTCAGCCAGTGACTCACAACACAGAGCAGCAGAATTCATTTGTACCTTCTCATCACAGCCCTCAAAGATTTTCTCCACAATGTGCTACACAGAGTAGCCTCATGCAAGTGAGTATTACTCAGGGAGTCCAGCCCGGAACACCTCAGCCAGTCCCTCTCACATCTTTGCCGCCCAGTCATCCTACACCATTATTACCCTCTCAACCTAGCCCAGCAGACCATGGAAATCAAAGACCTAGTGAACCCACAAGTAGGGCTGACACAGAGTGTGCTGCCATTTCTCCACAGCACACTATGATGTCACCTGGACCCCCAACTAGTATTTATAAACCCCAGGCTTTTAGCCCAAATTCTAATCAAACCCAGTTGATGGGAAGTAGCATGCAGGGCCAAAGAGGGCTACAACATAATCAGAATTCAGCTGTGCCTCCTCACTCCCAAGGTCAGATCAATGGAGCCATGGGCCAGTATAGTATGGGGAATCCTTTACATCCACACTACAACCAGGAAAACATGAACAGACCTATGCATCCATCTGCTCATCGCCAGTTTCACAATCAGGCCATAAACCCCCTGAACAACCCTGCTCCCCACCCCTCCTACCACCAGCAGGCAGGGAATGCCTACTACCAAATGTCAGGACAGCAGCATCCACAGGCTCTTAGAAATCTGTATGCACCACATCAGTACCAGCAACAAGCTTACTACACCCAGCCCAATTCCCAGTCTCACTCCCATAACCAAGCTCTCAGCAGAGGTGGCTATCCTCCTAAAGAGTGGCAACAATCTCCTTATCAGCCTCATCAACCCAACCCACCCAATGCCTACCTGCCTGTAGCCAGCGCAAGATCCAACGGTCAGTCAAAGGAGAGCAGTATGTCTCCACTGGGCTCTGAGAGCTCCACCAGTACTAGCTTGCTATCTCCAGGCCCTGTATCTGAAGCTGGGCCATATTCAGCAGGTTCTGAGGAAGGGAAGTGTGAAAACAAGGAGCAAGCTGATGCAAACAGCAGTGGCAGTCCAGCTAAGCAGGCTCGTACTGAGAACTCTGATCAGCCTGAAAGTCCTAAAGAAATTCTGGACCTCGATAGTCACAATGCAGCTGCTCGTCATCGAAGCATCCAGCCACTACACCAGCAGCATCCTTCCCACCTAACAACTGGGTTTATGTATGACCCTCGAGCTTTGCACCCTGCAATGCAACAAGGCACCATCCCTCCACCACATTTGATGGTTCAGGGCCGTCGAGTTGGAAATGGAACCCTTTATCCTGGTCAGCCATACCCAGATCCAGGACGCTATGCTGCCCAGAGACCTCACCCACACCTGATGGAAGCTCTGCAGCGGCCCCAGCAACTGCCCTACTCCCCGGGTCAGACACGTATGGCCATGTACAGACAACCCAGACCTGGTGGACACTTTCAGGACATGATGATTCAACAGCAAAGTCTAGCACCAGGGCACTTCATTCTCCCAGGGTAACCCGTTTTTTTACTCTGATAGTTTTTCAATACAACTGGTGTAGTTGAAGTTGCTTATTCGCAAACTTGTAGCAAATGCACATGGTCCATGTATCAAAGAGTGTGTGAATAGCAGAATTGTAACAAAACTCTCATTTTAAAGTCCAATTTAGAAAATTAAAAATAAGCTGAGTAAAAAAAAAATACAGTGTCAAATCTGATTAATATTCTCTAGTAGCCTAGCTGCGTCAAACTAACTAACTGTGATAAGAAAATGTTTATTATGTGTTCACAGACAACAGATGACGGCTGCTCCAGGCAGTTCAGGAAGGAAACAATGATTGTGAAATGCCAACTAATCAAAGTGAGTACATGTTTGATTATTTGATAACCCTGATTTCACAGCCTTTAATACACTTGTTTTAATCATCCTTGCTTTAATAATGTTTTTGATGCTTTAAGTATGTCTTAACACAGAATAATGCCTGAAGGGCATCCATGATTCATCTAAATGTTCTTTCTTTCAGACTTGATAGACATCTGGCAAAGACAGGAAGCCAGTCACACACTGACCACGCCGCCATGGCTTTCTCCACCTACATCACCTGTTCATGTTGTTGCGTTATACTTGAGCTTTGCCTGCCAGTGGACTTGAAGATCCAACCAGACAGCTGGTATTACTGAGATAATAAAAAATGTGAAATATCTTTGAGCCTCGGAGATCAATTCTCTTCTCTCTTCCTGCTTTATAAGACCAGTCACAGAATAACTCTGTGGAACTGTATTGAATTCCCTGAGTTGCTCAAGGACACATCAGTGGAATTATTGCCTCCCAACAGGAGCGGTGAAGCTTTTCTTTTCCCACAGACTGTGATCTTTTTAACCACTAGGTCCACCTGCTAAATGCAGGCGGCATTGCCTTCGAGAACACTGGACAGTCCTCTACACAAGCAGCCAAAGCATGGACGGATTAACAGCCACTCATCGCCATCCTGCTACTGCCTGGACTGTGACAAGAGAGGAGCTGTTTTTACTACTATTTTCTATTCCAACCATATCTTTTTAAACTCAGGTGCAGATAACGAGGTACTTTGAGACTGCCACCCACACACAGTCAACACACAGGCCCCTTGCAGATGCCTTGATGATGAATGTATTAGTAAATGTGTAGACAATACAGGCAGCACATTAGTTGCACATTAAAGGACAAACAACACTGACCACTCTTCTGAAAGCATCAGCTGTCATTTACTTTTTTTTTTTTTTACCCCTAAGCCTAACAGATTTCTCAGCTTGAGGGGAAAAAAATAATTTATGCATCTTTCAAAGCTGCCTTCATTTTAAAGAATGTTTTAGCAGAGAGGGACAGGCGATGAAGATGCTGTTTGTATCAAAATGTACCTGATTCTGTTTTATGCACTATGGATTTAATCAGTCTGTACATCCTAAAACTGAGTGGCCTTTGTTTGTCTTCTATTAGTCGTTATCTGTTAATGTAGAAATGTATGAAAAGGTTTATATTAATTGCCACCTTTACTGCTGAGATCTGCCTTGGATGAGAATAATCTTGAATTTTTCTTTTGGATGTCTCATTCCCTGGTCCATTGCATGTGCACAGAACAAACATAAATCCATCCAGTAGTTTTGTTGCATTCCTCAGTCATGTTTGGATTTTTAGTTCTTCCTGCCTAAACCTGCCATTTTCACAGTTGCTTCTTCGAACGCTTCTTCTTCCTAATGTTAGTACAAAGGAAATCCTCAGGGTGTACAGTTTCTTGATACGGGTATTTTTATGAATCGTTGGAAGAAGGAGCAGCATCATTAAAAATGGGACTGATTTGTTCCAGCTCAAGGAAATGCTGATAATAAAACGTTCCAATTTGTTGTCTTTAATAAGCGAGTTAGCGCACAGCTTACTTAGTTTGTATTTTGTTTGGTCAAAGTTGATTGAATTCTTATTTTATGTTTCTCTTAATTTGGTGACATGCCACTTGCCATCACAATAATTTTGTATTCTGTTAACAGCCAGAACATTTTGTTTCCTTTTCTTTTTTTAGTTAAATTTATGTGACCTGTGGAAGTAATGTTTTTTTTTTTCTTGATAGTCCTCCTAGTGCAGTCAAGCAATGGCAAAACCTGAATCTACCTCATAAAGCCACTGTTTGGCATCTACAAAGCTCCTTCTCATCCCACCAGACTCCAGGTTGACATTTTATTTCTACCTAATTATCTTTCCACCACTTTTACATTTTAGGTTTATAAAAAAAAACTTTAAAAAAATTTTTTTTAAATCATCCCACTTTTATCGTACATCATATTTTTAATGAATGAATGTGTGTTAGACAATAATACCATCATATTTTAAAAACAGAAATTGCGCATTTTCATGCTAAGTTGCCTTTATGTTGTCAGGCAAGTAGATGGGAATCCAGTCTGGGGTCTGTAATGAGTCATACAGTTGAATTACCGGTATTTTTAGCTTAACTGTGTCTTTAGTTATGTAAATTAAAGACTAGACAAATGAAGAAGGTAGAGTCTGTGAGAGTTTTGTTAACGTCACACAAGAGTCATCAATAACTCAAATTATTTGGATATTAGTGAGCCTAGTTTGCCACAAAAGGAGGTAGCGTTCATGCTGTTTGTTGTATGAAGGACGGTGCTGTCATTAAAGATCTGTGAGCTTGCGATATTGTCTTATTGTGTACAGATGTGTGTGTTTGTGTGGTTCTGGTGTGTAGAACTGGCACCAGTTGATTGGAAGTGTGCATTCAATTCTCACTTTTACTCTGCTGTCATCTCTGCACTAGAAAAACCATTTAGGTGTGATTTAATGTGAATTATATTTATTTGCTCGTTTAAGAATTTTTGTACATTTTTGGACTCATCTTTAATATAAAATTGGTTTCTTGTTGTTGTTGTTGTTTTTTTTCAAACAATTTTCCTTTACCTCAATAGCATTATGGCATTGGGAAAAAAAGACTTGTACCTTTCTTTTTTTTTGACGTTTACATGTTCTTATCTGACTGACATAGATTATTTTGGAAATGGAATGGATTATTTTCTATACTGTCTTAGAAATAAATAAAAAAAACAATTTCTCAAGCAAAAGTGTAGTAGTTTTTTATTTTATTTTAAATAAACAATTACCTGTATCTCCTACTGTAACAATAGATAACATAGACTTTGATTAAAAAAAGAAGTAATTTCTCTAGTTTTCTCCTGAGGTTTATGATTGCAAAACATTTTAATATAATGTATTGTGTTTTGGTTTTGGCAAGACGGTGCAGTAATCTGTTGAGCCACAACACTTTCAATTAGTCTCTCCTGTTAGACTGGATGCTGCTTCATCTGCCTGATCTGCAGGAGTCAGCTGTAACATGCGGCAGGCTGTCTTCAGAAGGATCCTTGTAATTATTGTTTTTGTTCCGGTTTAAATAGGACAAAACTGGCAACAGAACATTATGCAAATGAAGCTTGTAATTAAGATACATTAACTGAGCCTAATTAGGTAGGTTGTCGTAAACAAAATTATAAAAGAACATGACAAAACATGAAGCAAACAAATGCTAAACAGTTTTATTTAAATGCTTTTTAAAACTGTTGTGTCACGTGACAGATTTTGTTTCAAGGTCACATTGTAGCTTTTGCTCAGGATTATGAAAACATTTGTTTTTTAACTATACAAATTATTAATATACAAAACCCTCTATGGAGTTTTATAATTTGAAAGTATAAACAATCATAGAGTCAGAGTTTCTTTATTGTCATTCGCACCACGTGGTGGAATGACAGGGTCCCAGTTACATCCAACAGTAAAATGTAAAAGAAAAACTATAATAAGATCTAAGATATGAACTAAGAAAAACATTAACTAAAAATATGCTAAGTGCTAATAGCATAAAAACAATACGTCGAACAGCAGCACGAACACGAGTCTGAGCAGATGAGCACGAATGAACACAACAACATGAAACAGATCAGCAACATGAAACGGATCAGCAGCAACATGAAACAGATCAGCAGCAACATGACATGACTTTTTTTCCACAGTGGTTATTCTGGTTAGAGATTCATGAGTCTAACAGCCTCAGGGTAGAAGCTGTTCCTCAGTCTAGTGGTTCTACGCTTAATGCTCCACAACCTCCTTCCTGAGGGGAGCGGGGCAAAAAGTGTGTGTGTGCTGGGTGAGTGGGGTCCTTCATGATGCAGGTGGCTCTCTTCCTGCATCTGGAGGTGTAGATGTCTGTGATGGTGGGGAGACTGACTCCAACAGACTTCTGTGCAGCCTTCACCACTCTCTGCAAAGCTTTTATTGCTGCAGCTGTGCAGCCTGCATGCCACACGCTGACATATATTCAAAAACAATATCCATACATTGGCATTTTTAATTAGTTCATTACATGTAACATTATTAGCTAAATTTAAAAAAAGTATTTGCATTTTTATTTTTTTGCTCTTACTTATTAGAAAACGAGTATTTCAGGACAAAAGCGCAACTCCAACATAAAAACTTACAGGTAATATGTGAAATAGTCTCCAACCGTCACCTCCTCCGTCCTCCGCTGCTGTTTTTATGTCGTCCATGCGCTCTGGACGTCACTCACAGAGCAACACCTGCCCCCTCTTTCCTCTTTTGCGTTGACTAAATGTTTGTTTGATCGATAAGTTTGTCAAAGCACAATTTACAGAAGTAATGTTTAATAAATGTTAGGACTCTATTCTTTGCTAACAAAATTAATTCACCTCCTCAGTTAAGCTGCTGTTTTTTGATGATCTGGACATTTTTCACCCACAGCATGCAGGTGACAAAGTAAACTCGAAGCAAGAGGATTGTATACCTGGATTATTGAGCATGGACTTTGTTGTTTTCAACCAGTTGGACAAGACTGTCAACAAGGAAGAGGGCCGGCAATGGAGGAGGGGGCGTACCAAAGAGACCATCTTATCACAAGCAGAACTGGTTTGTTCCACTTTGGAGTGAGCTGTTGGGGGAAGAATCAGTTTTGTTGTGTTTCCTTGACTGATGAAGCCTTCCGGACCGAAGGCGAAACGTTTCAGCACAAAAAAAAAAAAATGTCCAGATGACCTGACTGAAAAATGTTGGATGGTATACCTGGATCATTGAGCATGGACTTTGTTGTTGTTCAAAGCGAGAGGGTTACCTGCCCCTCTTTCTTCTTTCATGATGACAATTTTTTTTTTGTTTTATCGATGAGTGTGCTCATTGATCCTGATTGATTGATTGATTAAAAACACAGCATAAATTGTTTTATTCATTTTTGTTTTGTAGGTCAAAGTCTTTTATATAACATTCCTGAGTTAAAATGTTGCTGATCAATTTGAATGTATTATTATTTATTGATTATATATATATATATATATAAATCAGTATCAAATGGTCCAAAATGTTTACAGTTTTAAAAAGGATTGCTTTTTTTTCAGGCAAATTGATGCACTTTAAGTTGTTTCTGTTACAGACTAAAAAAAACAATGTTAATAAAGTTATTCTTCATTGTAAGTAGTTATAGTTGATCTATATTCTTTTTTTTTTCTTTAATGTTAATAAGGACACAATGTTAGGT